TCATATTGAAAAAGTACATAAAATCAACTTATCTATTAGCACGCAAAACGGCGTTTAATCAGATGACTACCCGATGTAGCTTCGACCCATATCTAACGGTAGTGAAAGAATTTGATCAATAGATTGCACGCCACATCTAGATGGTTCATCTTTTACATGTTTATCAAACAGTACATACATTTTCTAGACTCAGGCTTCTAAGCAGAACCACTTTTGTCGAAGATTAAGATAATCCGCACCGTATTCATATCCTTTGTCGCGAACTAATACATGATTAGAACACTAATTTCTTTCATGCACCCATTAAGCAAGGTCTTTAATGATGATGGCGACCATCCAGTCTCATCCATCAGGTAGCTTAAGTCAAAAACTCTACGCTAAATGTTGACTTCAGGTAACAAAGCTCTGTCCGTTTGAATGCTTCTTTACCACCATGCGCAATTAACGTCTATTCTTTAACCAACCTGACAGCTGAGCTTTCACCTTATGGTGTTGGCCGTGTATACATGCTTAAAATATCCACGTTTTACGTGAATTCACTCAATGCATGCTGAGACATTTATTCTCGGTCGTCTTAAAGCGTTGTTTATTAGAACTTTTCATCTTATGAAGTCTGTCCTGCTTATTTGTTTATCAGGAATTCATCCGCATGAACATTTTAAAAAGCCTCTAACCCTGTTTCAACATAATGAGCTGAAAATCGATCACTGAGCATGTGTTTGTTCGACGAAACAACTGGTGCCGTTTTGCGCCCATGCACCGCAGAAGTGCAGTCATGTCCTATTTAAAAAGTCACTTAGGCTAACAGAAGCAAGGGGACCTGCACTATTCCGTGAAACTAAATTCTGACATAAGTTGTTGATTTTTCGATACATCATGGGTTTGTTTTGTTTCTATACACGTTTCCTGAATCCCTCTTTCATACGTTAACAATGCAGTGGACATCTAACATATTCAGCTTTCCGGATGCTATTTCTATACTGTCACTGTTTGGGCCTAGGATTATAAAATTAGTGACATAAACAGACAATGAAAAGAGAACTGTAGTACCATGAAAAATTTCCGACAAAACGAATAGCGCGCAGCGACGCTTCTGCTCACGGACAGATCTGATAACAGTCGCAAGGTATAGGTTTTTGAAAACATCTTAACATACTTCCTCAAGGTGGAACCGATGGGACACTGAATCAACAACTAATGTGGTCCTATAACTCAAAAGCTCTAAGACGAAAGGACCAACACAATGCTGCATTCAGGCTTCAAATAATTGCAATGCGAATCGGCAGCTTTTCTGTTTTTTTTCAAACATTTTACGAAACAAATAAATCAGGAAAAATTACTTGAATTTAACTAAGGCAGCAAGCGCTTGAGGGTGTAATTTCAGACACCAACTAGCCTTTCTTTCAATCTTCCAACATGCAAACTTTTGTAGAATTTCCTGTATATCAGTGCCATTGCATTTTAATAAAACGGTTTCATCCGGAACCATGATGCCAGTCTGAGCGTATTCCTGAAAATAATTTCGTTAAAAAAGCAATGCACACAATTTTTATGTAGTAAAACATGAGAAAATCAGGGTATGCGGCATTAGAAAAGTCAAACGTCATAAAATGAGCAAATAAGTAATTCAATAAAAGCCATCGAATAACTAAACAACATCGCGTTATTAGCTGCATGCTCACGCTACCATTATGTAAAATATAAATACTGCCACAGTTGAAATGTTGCAATTTTTGTAACGTCAGCGTAACGTGCATGTACCGACAATACATTGCGATACAAGAGCATTTTGGACTAGTAAAAAGCATAAAACATCGCGCACACCGCTGATTAACACAAGGATATCGTACAAGGGTGGATTTGTGTGAAGCACACTGTCAAGTGTTCCAGTAACCAAAACTTCGTCATATGTCATGCAAGGTCAAATAAAAACATACCAAGGTTCAACATTTTTCACTGACCTTCAAGTGCTTCGACCATGTGAAAAGTACCCTCCGTAGAAACAAACGATAAATCACATGAGAGCATCGTCTCAATTGATTTTTGAATAATACTCGATTTATCTCAGGTTTCCGTTGCACCGTCAGCATTCTGACATGACGAAATACGCGTATAAGAAAGTAGGAAATGACCAGGGTATACTACAATTGCAAAAATTGCTATCGCAGTAAAATTCCCTGTGGACAGTTTCGAATGTGATAATAACTGTCGAAACCGCGATTAATCGGTTACAAATTTCGAGAAAGCGAAGTGATAATTTCGTAATGCATAGAGTAATTAAAGGCGCAGGAAGCAGCTTTGCAAAAGTGCCACGACAGAAGATCCTTCCAGAGACAGACGATCAAATGAGATCCGCATTCCCACACTTAGATGTAAATAGTATCTATCCTCTATTATTAAACTCAAGCTATGCATGCTCCAAATTTCAACAATATAAAATGTTACCTCAATAAAGCTTGAGCGTTGCGTCGTTGACAGCGGGACGGGATTCGATCCATAACCTAAAACAACGCAAAGGCGAATATGACTATATGGGAAACAAACTACAAAGTTACGAAGAAAATGAAACAAGAATCAGAGTAGCACTACCTTTTCAATCACAATATTTAATTGAATGCAATGGATTAAACCACGCATAGATAAAGATTAAGATTCATGGAATAAATCTAAATGGTTTTTGCATACGAAAACTTTCATCCATTCGGATTTCAATGCTCTGGACATTCAAGTTTTAATCGTGTGCAAAGTTTTCCCGCTGTTAGAAACCTACTACAGTGCGGGAAGTGTCAAGTCTGACCAGCCATGGTTATCAAAACCTACTTATCTTGAGTTATGCATTTATTAATCTCCTTGTTCGCTACAATGCTGGAAGACCAAGAACACTTAGCGTGTATCTCATGAGGGATTCATTCTCGAAATCACACACAGCTTCCATAAAATATGAACGATACAGATATGGTAAATGCACAAATCCCATACCTGAACAGCGATTCACATTGGTATATCGATAGTTGGTAACAGACAACTGTTAAGAGTAGTAAAGATAGCAATAATGTCGAGTATTTTATCTCAGATCCACTCACTATTTTATCTCACAGCATTTCTCCTATTGAATAGAAACTGGGATGAAAAAATAAAAATTTAATGCCATTTTCTAGGCTAATGTGGAGATAGTGAAAAAAGAATCATAATTTTCAGACCTTGAATACAGAGGCGCTACAGAGTATATATAAATACAGTGGAAGGAAGGAATGAGTCGAAACATTGAGTTTGGGCTATATCGACAGTGGAAACACTCGTTTTATAATCGTGTTCAAAGTACATTGAAAGGCCTTACCAAAACAGCAAAATGCTTCTTCATCATCCTGAAGATCATTCTCAGTATACTGAAGATCGTCCTCGCATAACGTCAAACGGATTAACATGTAGCCATCACTCTTATCTGCCGATTCTAGCAGAGTTTTCGGTTTCAGTTCAGGTTCCAATTCGACAATAGATACAGTACTGTTGATTTCGGACAAAAGGTCTTCTGACTCCTGCTTAATATTTGCATTCATTTTCGGGAGTTCTGGTTTGTTTACAGCAACGATAAAACTGAGAGAGGATGTTGAGGTAGAAGACAGAATCATAGACGAATCCTGCGTCGGAGATTGGGTTCGATCCGCTGTTGAACCCAACGCAATAACTGGAGTGACGTCCTGCATCACAGCAGAAGCCGGCCCCGGTGATGGAGCCGAAACAGGAACAAGGGTCATAGTCCCAAACTCTATGTTTGGCTTGAATCGTTTGGCCAGTCTTGGGTCTCGTATTATTGTCTGTATACTAAGGTTCGAGTCTAAAAGACCGTCATACGGCGAAATGGTTTGCTCCGCAGGCACCGCTACGGCTGCTGCAGTCATTGGTTCTTTCACAACCGAATCAGAAACGGGATCCTCGCGGCCGCGAGGCATCGCTAAAGATGTAGAGGGCTGAATGCTACGTAAATTGTGGTTCTTCAAGCGAGCAGCCAAGTTCTTCCTCCAAAGTTTTGACCGTCCCGCCGCATTTTCACTACAGGTACTTTTCGCGGCAATGGAACATTCAGAGTTCTTGTCCTTTTCTGCAACAGCAAACCATTACATACTTTTATGAAAAAGAGCATAATCAAACAACGGTTAAGTTTAACAGTATCTGAATAAAGGCGTTACCAGGTTCCACCAAAGTTTATCTTCATGTCTGGCGCCAGAAATCGAAAAACGTTCAAAATTTCAATCCTGTGACGGAACAGACTTGATTCTTGCACGCTACTAATCTGACTGAGAACGGAAACTACCAACCGCCCTTCAGTACAATCACAGACGAAGAAACTACATGATGCCGAACCAAGTAACAATTTCGTGACTGAACAATTAAAGCCGTTCGATAGTGCTGACGTACTGATGAATAATGTTTTGGTGCTGACATATAGATCAGGGCCAGAACGCAGTCATTCCACGGCAAGTTCTGATCCCAATATATACCAAATGTCCAAGTGTGTGAACTACTTAATTAATTCTCTCAGGCTACATATCAACGAAAACCTCTGGGAGCACACCACGAAGCAGTTACTTCTATATTATAAAGATTAACCAGTTTGTTTGATGTTTCCATGGCGGCGAATGTGTGTGATCCTAAATCAACTTTAGTTCTGTGGCCGCATCGCAGTAATATCACTGGCAAGCGTCCTGTTCCCTTTCAGAAGTATTTGATTATGTCATCTTCTTCTGTGGTCTGAATACCGCTGAAACCCCTGCATGAACTTCAAAGGAACTGCTTAACGGACAATTAATATCTAACAGAAATGAGATCACCCGGTTTAAAATCAGGGTGGTCAACATAAAAGACGTGACTAAGAACCATTTAGAAGCAATTTACTGGAAAAACTTAGATGAGGAAGATGAGGAATGTCATCTTCCAAATAGAAGCTGCATAACTGGCTGTAAAATGAAAATAAGCCGCGAAATTTTTATAAACACTTTTTTCCCAACATCAACGGCCTATCAAGAGAGAACATCGTGAAGCACATGAACGAATAATAACTGTTCTGAATTACTACAATAATAATATACTTAAATGTACTTTTATCATTTAACTTGCAACTAAGAAATGGCGAGAGGATGTAACTTTAAATACAAGACTCTAAAATGTAGTAATCTTAAAAATCCAACATATTCGAAATACCGAGAACGTGGCACTTTAAAATGGAGCTCGATTACTGCGCTACAACAATATTATCCTGTTTATCATTGAAAAATGATCGTCGTCAATGACAAGTCCAGATGTTTTACAGCCTCGTGCTATTTCAAGGTTCGATATTTAAGCTAACATGTATACCGGGGTTGCTAAGCTGATAGAGCGTCTGACCCAGAACCAAGCAGTCCTGGGTTCAATCCCTGATTAGGGTCACTCGCCTATCTTCTTTTCAAGGCTGATAAATGAGTACCAGTTTGTGGAAAGGCAGCAAGAGACTACAAACTATGCTTCGCACATATCTACTGTCGTCTGTGCCTTTAAAATAAGAAATTCGTGGCTGATGGCAGCGAAATGGAGACTAGCGTTCCAGCATTAGCTTTATGAATGTCTCCATCGCCAAACAGTGATGAAGACTAATAATTCAATAGCTACGAACTTTTCTTTCCCTCTCCTCAAGTAGAGAAAACAATTAAGTGCCCTACTCATTTCTGTGGCCATTATTTTTTGCCTGTTCCTTGTTTCAAAGCGACGTAGTGATTTTGTAATTGAAATTTTAAGTGACAAAAAGCAAAATTTTGGTTCGTACTTTTATCAAATAACTTAGCTGAAAGACCTCAACAAGTCATCACAACGGAATTACAAATTAGAGTGAAATTCTTCGAAATTCAAAGTCTGACAAGAGTTTTCTAGACTGGATAGGGTTCGACTGATATATGGCTCATTTGCTAAATCAAATAGTTAAAATAACTAGATATCTATCAATTATGTCAGATTTAAAGTTACGACAAAAGGAACGTGTGGCGCTTAATAATCACACGCTGTCGCAACAATAAAAGCAAAATAAATAGTGAATCTGCGATATTCAAACGTTTAACGAACGCTTCGTAGCGCGCTCACATAGAGCTTCTTATACGCAATATGATGGCTGAAATCGAATAGTTGATACAGAAAATCGCCTACCAATAACACAGATTCAAACCGTCGGCCACGGGACTGCATGCAGACACCGATAAACAGACTGAGCTAAAACGGCCAAAACCAAAAGATCTCCTTACGTAACTGACTGTCTAATTGATAGCTGAATCACACTGCGGATAGGAGAGAGAAAATAAAGCAAGATATAAGGAGTAAAATAGTGCAAAACGAAATTAAACAAAATTATCAGGAAAATACTAAAACGTACACAAAAATATTATGAGAATTAAAGACAATGTTCACATTATTACCTTCTGCAACGTAAGCCAAACTTTTCGGGGTGATGACCAACGTGTGAAGTGAAGGATCGGTAGTTGGACCAGGGTCGAGACCTTAAAACAGTGTCATCATAACGTAGGATCAAGTTAAACGCATGCCACACCTAGTTTAGCCACGAGTATCGAAGAAGGAACTACGATTATTACGGCCTCTGGTGACCGATAATAACATATCTAAAAAAGAGACATAAAAACAGTCAAAGAAAATCTTAACTCATACATCGCAATGAATGTCTAAGAAATTTCTGATATTTAACATTAGGTCTCTTAAGCTCATGCCAATACTGCGCTGCACATGAGGACAGAAATGCATATGTTCTATGCATTTATTATCAGTACCGCAAGAAAACGATATCGTTACTTAAGAAGTGTGACATTTCGACCATGCACGAGTCAACTTCAGAAAATAACAAATATATAACTACGGCAGGTCAGCTTTTGCTTAACCCGATCAACAAAAATGCAAAGGAAGCTAAAATAATTTTTAGAAATTGCATCCGTTTGCGATGTGATAATAAGAATCAGCTTATCAAATAAGATTGATGATATGTGACTGTTCGTTTCATTACTGCTATAGGTTGAATTAATCGTCTTGTTACGCTTAGTTAATAATGTTAATCACTGCTGCGAAAAT